TCCCTGTGGGATTCCCATGGGATGCATGCGGGATGCACGCAGCCCCGTCGCACCTTGCAGGTAGATCTCGAGGTGGGTGTTGCACATGCTGACGTTGCAGCAGCGCGTGCCGAAGTGCTCCATGACGGGCCCACGGCAGTTCTCCAGCAGGTGCTGGGAGAAGCAGCCGCGGCTCCGCGTGATCCTGCCCTGCTCCCGGCTCTTGCTCACGAAGCACACCTTCCCCGCGCACGTGGACGCGTTGCAGTGCGGCACGTCGCAGGCGCAGAGCAGTGAGGCCGCTGGCTGTGACACTTCCCTGCGCAGCAGCCTCGTGCCTGCTGTTTTGGGGGGAAACGATGCTTTTCTGAGGACCTGCAGCAGTTTGCAGTGCAGGAGCCACGGAGCCAACCAACCAGGAGCATGCTGGACCCCACAGTGGGACCCTGCCCAGGGATGGTTTTTCACCCTGTTTTGCTACTCACCAGTGGTCAAGCTCAGCGACAGGCTCATTGCTGCCAGCAGCACCATCGTGGCGGCTCCCTGGGGCATTTTCCTGTGGAAAAGGGACACAGGGGTGTCCTCGCTGGCCGCTGTGGGGACCCCCAGCAAGGTCCCCCTGCCGCACCGGGAGGAGGAAGCAGGAGCCCTTGGCCAGGCGGGAAACGCTAGGTAGGATGTGCTCCCTCCAAGGGGAATTTGGCTCCGGACGTCCAGGTCGCCACCCCTTCCTGAGCGCGATTCCCCGGCATCGTCGGCCACGTGTACGCGGGGTCTGGCGCCCGGCCCCGCGCAATCCCAGCTCCAGCATCCCCCCTTATTCCTGGGGTTTATACTGGGACCGCTTCCAGCCACACGGCAAAAACACAGCCCCTGCGGCTTGGGATCAGCCGCGAGCCCAAATCCCCAGCCCGGCTCATAGCTGCCCGCAGCGATTTGGGACTTTTGTCCCGAGTTGATCAACAACTCAAGAGGAGTCACTGCAGACAGCCAGGAGCTTCCCAGCTGCTCCTTTGGGGGAGGTTTTGCTGTCTTGGAGTTTTTTTTTGTTGTTGTCTTCTTGTTTTTTTAGGGCTTCCTTGCAACACAGAACCGTCCGCCAAGGCAAACGCGACAGGGGCTGGATCACAGCCCGGCCCCTCGCCGCCCCGCGGGCACCGCGCGGCTCCTGCTCCCCGTTTCGCCGCGTCCAGCCCCGGCCCGGGCTCCGTCGCCCGGGGTTTCTGGCGTAAACAAGGCAAAGGCTCCGTTTCCTGCAATTCAAGGAGCCCTGCCCATGGCGGCCCGGACAGGAATCAAGATTGTTTAGATTCTGGCCTTGATGGGGAAATGCAGTCACGCAAGCCCCGGCCTTATAAATATACATATACATATCTGCCCTGAGCAGGCTGCAGTGGTGGCACGGTGCAAAATGGATCTTTCCTCCCCAAAATAGCCAGCTTTGTTGCTGCTGGCACAGAGGAAGCCCCTGAAGCTTCCCTGTTTCTTTTCCAAAGCTGGAAAAGAGCCGCTTTACCGGCCTCCATGATGCTCCCGGGCTCCATTTCTCCTCCTCGTTTTTATCCCTGCAATTAGGAGGGCTACAAAATGCACCTTTTCAGATGGAAGCTGAGACTCCCACGGAGCGAATTCCCTCCTGGAGAGGGAAATTCCAGTAAGAGGGGACGAGGAAAAGCCTACCTTGGGAGAGGCTTTGTGGAGGATTTGTGCTGTTAAGTGCAATGCAGCCAGGCCTTCACCCCAAATACTGTGATAACTGGGACAAAACCGCATGGTTTGTTGCTCTTAAACTTAATCAACTCTTAACCCAGGTGGCCATTTCTGAGACAGGGCAAGGGGCAGCACTCCAAGCTCCTCAGCACAGAGCCTTCCTCCCCTGCTTCTTCTTCATCCCATTGCTCACATCCGAGTTGCACCTTACAGAAACTCCTCATGCAGAGCCCAAGCCAGGAGACCCAGGAGGAGAGATGCTTGGAAGCAGCCGCTGCTTTGCATCCCTCCATCTTTAAGGATTCGCGGCAGCATCAATGACACGGAGAGAAAAAACCCCACTGAGACACCTTGTCATGAAGGGAGGTGCCAGACACGGACAGGGCGGATGCGCGAGCACCTCCGCACGGCCTCGGCAGGAGCGTTTCAGTGTCTTCTGCATCGAAATGGCTGGGAACAACAGCAACCGCAGCATGCAGCGCTGCCAGAAATGCCTTGTGCAAGAGGTGGCCCCAGGGAAGAGGTGGGGGCTGTCACATCGGGTGATGCCAGAGCTCCTTCTTTGCACGGATAAACCTGGAACGGCTCTGCAGGCTTCCATGGCAGCTGGAAGTGTCAGTCCTCGGGCCTCGCCGCAGACCCTTGCCCTGCGGCGGCAGCTCTGCCCTCCAAGGGCTCTGCTCTCCCAGTCCTTCCTCTCCCCTCTGCGGTTGCTGCGGGGAGGTTTCTGAAGGGCAGGATGCAGCTCGGGGCTCGGTTCCCCCTTCGCTGCTCTTTGGCTGGGAACCGGCCGCTGCAGAGACTCTCTTGCCGGCCTGCTCGATCCGGAGCGCTCGGAAGGCAGCGAGGCTGCAGCTCCCACCTTCCCATCACGCAGGTGAGGGGAGGCCCAACCTGCAGCGACCACCACACCACGGCGGGACCCTCCAAAGTGCCCAAACCAGCTCAGGCTTATTAATTTGATAGAGAAACAGGAAAGCCACGCTCTTCTTCCATGTATCTGCTTATTCAGGGAATGGGACAGAAGGGTTGCACTGGCCTGACCTTCTGTAACACCCGTGCAGGCCCTGATAGTCAAAAGGGTCCCTGCAGTGCGTCCCGGAGCCCCAGAGTGCACAAAGCAGGTTTCTTCCTAGGCGCTTTGCAAGGCCGGGCTCCTCGGCTCCGCTGCAAACGGAGCCCTTCCTCCCCGCAGCAGCCGCTGCGCTGGCCTGACAGCCCCAGAGCTGCCTCTGTCCTGTATCTGCAAAATCTCATTATCTTCCCAAGCTGGCGCAAGCCGAGGAGCCGGCTCGGGCTCTCCTCCCGGCCCGCCCTGCACCCATGCGGCTCATTTATACCCCAGAAAGGTGCTCGAGCTGCTCCAGTTATTCCAAGCGGCCGTTCTGCTTTTCTAGCAAACAGCTTCACATTCTGCAAAGATTTTTTCTCTCCACCTCCCTTCCCGGCTGGGCTATTATGGCCTGGAGGGCCCCGGCCCCTCCAGCACAGCACAAGGGTCCCCGCCGGTAGCTTTCCCCATCGGGCAAATATGACCATTTTTTTCCTGGTCCTTGCTCTCTGTCTGACTCCCAATAGCTTTTTACCCTTTGGGCATAAACCTTGTAAAGGACCTTTCTGAAAGTCAGAATAAATCACATCACTCAGCTCTTCATTACCCACTGCTTTCTAAAAAGTATATGAGCGAAATAGAGTTTTGCTTTGCAGAAACTATCGTGCTGAGATATCCTGTCACGTCGCTGCCTTCATTTCTCTGTCATCTCAAGTCATTAGCCGGATTTTGAACTTTCCCTCATTTTAGCTCATGCCTTTTAAAACGACACCCGAGTTCACTGTTTTCCGTCTCTCTGCTAGAGCCTCCCTGCTCCAGGTTCTTGTTAGAAGCCATATATTATTTCAGCTCTTTAATGAGGATCTGGGGACAGATCCTGCTTTTGGCTTTGTGGGTCTCAATCCACATTTATGCTATTTATTGGTTTTGCCAAAGTCCAGCTTTCTCCATGACGCTGAAATAAACTCGTGTCCTAACAGCTGCAATGGAAATAGGGCCAAATTCTAATCTCAGCTTCGCTAGTGCAAATTGAGAGGAAAACCTGCTGATTTTGGTGCTGTTACTCCAGTTCTGGCTTCATTTATCCAAGGCCAGACTCTCTTCCATGCTCAGCAGCAAATAACTCATGCAGATGGCAGCAAATCTGAGTCTTAAAAGGTGATGAAAATGTTGTGGGAACGAACGGAGGACCCTGAGGCCTCTTTTAGCAAATAATGGAGCATGCCAGGAGGGAGCCAGAGCTTGGAAGGAGGCAAGAGCACACGCTCCGTCCTCGGCTGGTCTGAGCTCACACCGCTGTGATTTCCGTCCCGCGCGGTGCCGAGCTCCTGCCGCCCCGTTTCCACCCTGCACAGCAGCCTCACGTCCACCCCGCACCCGGAGCAGCAATTTCCAACTCACCTACAGCTCTGCCCCTTCCCGGGGCAGCATGAGCTGCGGCGGCCGGTCCCACGGAGCCCCGGCTCCGCTCCTCCTCGTCCCCGGTGCTGCTTTCCCCAACGCGTTCGCCCTGGGCCGGGCGCTTGGAGGCAGCGCGTGCGGCTCAGCCGGGGCAGCTCTCGGCCGTGCCCTGCGCCCTGGCCCGCAGCAGCTTCATGGGGCTGCTCCTGTCCCCGGTCGGCCGCGCTCCCACCTTCCCAGAATGGGCTCCGCGGAAAAGCCCGGCCACCGCGGCACCAGGCCCGGCTGGGAACGGGGCTCCGCGTCCCTGTGGTCCGAATGCGGCAGTTTGGCAAACGCTCTGTGATCTGGATGTGGGAGAAGTCAAAAAAATGTTTCTTATTACTGCCTCTTCCTGCCTGGCTTTTCTCCACCACTCCCAGCTAATAAAGCATTTCCTATTGCTGAGCACACATCCACATTCAGCCTCCCTTCCTCCCGCGCACACCGGGCCCCAGCTCCATCCTGGTTGCTCTCCCTCATCCCATTCTTCCCACCCTGTCCTTCACCGAGGGCTTTCTCTAACTGTTACAGCTTTCCAATTAAAAAAAAAAAAAAAACACAGCACTTGAGCTGCCTGCAGACAAGGGAGCACCATCACGTCCCCTCCACGGGCACCTAAAGGTCTTTGTGCCTGGCAGAAACGTGGCTGGTTGACTTGGTTGTAGCTGGTCTAGGGATGGTCCAAAGTGCTGCAAGACTTGGTGCCACATTAGTGTGTGCTGCCAACACGAGCCAGACGTGGCGATGGGAGGGAAGAGGGTTTGGACTGGGGCTCCTGGAGCTGTGACACCGGGGGCTGATAGCAAGAGATGCCCTGTCTGTGAGGGGTGACCACCAGGAGCAGAGCTGGGCTGGCATGGATCACAGGGTTTGATAGGTGTCCCCTGCAGGGCGCATCCTCCATGGGACAGGGGCAGTTCCCATGCAGCATTAGAGATGGCACCACCGCAAGACACACTGTCCTCTGCTACGGACACTGCAGCGTCATCCCCGAGACCACACAGCTGTATTAGCCAGCGTTGGGACGTTAACCCCGGTGACATTCCCACGGCGGGAGGATGGGGCACTTCCTGCTGCCCCAGCTGGCCCCGCAGCTCCTTGCCGGGGACACCACGTGTGGCCAGCGCAGGCTTCGGCGAGCGGAAGCAACGCTTCCCCTTTTGCCATTTGAGACTCATCCTTTTGGCCATTCCAGGTCCAGCTGCTTCATGCTGCTTCCATCTGCCTTCTTCTTCCTCTGACATGTTCCCAGAGCCTTCATTCAGGTTTCATCCAGGCTTCTGGCTCTCTCCCAGGTGTTCCTTCCTGCAACCTTGACCAGCTTTTTGGGGTAGGTGGGAGAAGGGAGCCAGCCACACTCAGGCTGGTGTTGCATCCTCTTTCCTAATGAGGTTACAGGGCCTGACTTATTGCTCCTTTCCTCATTTCATCATGAACCTGCACTGCACCCCTTGGCCCTCCCTGTGGCTGGGACAGCTTGGCTGCTCCTCACCCAGGAGAACAGCACTGAGCAGCAACACAGACAGTTTTGAGGCCTCGTTCATTTCCACTCCTCCAATATCTTACGAGTCGCCTCTGATCTAAAGAACAAAATAAACAAAGAGCAACATAAATCCAAAAGGGAACAGGAATGACCTTCATCTGCAGCCTCGTCTATGAAAGGCTCCTATTTACTGTGGGATTCTTGTCCCCTTGCAAGCTTGGGGCGGGGGCGGAAGGAATTTTGTGGAGCCGGCGTCCACGCATGGGAAACGGGCAGTTTCCATCAGATAGGAGCGGGCCGGCTGCTGTGCCGACCGAGAGGAAGTCTGTGCCTGCAGACGCGTTATCGCGTTAACCATCTTCACTCCGCCGCACGGGCCTCAGCCCTGCGACTCTCCGGCAGCTCCTCCCAGAGCTATTCCTGGATGGCGCTCGGGCCATCGATACCTCTCCGGGCTGCAAGAAAGTCCCTGCAGCGAATGCAAAGCAGCAGGGCTGTACCTGTGAGTGCCCATCCGAACCCGGCTCCAGGTGCTTCTATGGCATCAGGGAAGCTGGAGCAGCAGGATGGGGGACGCCAAGGCCAGTGCTCTGCACAGGACCAGCAAGGAAGAAGAGGAGGAGGAAGGTCAGGGCGGATACTAGGGCTCAGCACAAGCTGCAAGTCTTTCCAACCGCAGTCAAGATTTCCCTGGCCAAAAGCTTCCTCCAGCGTGCAGAAAGAAGCGGGTGCCAATATCCTGCTCAGACCCTGCTCCGTGATCACAGATAGCAAAACATACCAGAAAACACGAGGTGCCACCGGGGCCAGACAGGGTGAATCAGAGCCGGGCAGCGAGGCCGTCGGCCCTGCCCACCATGGCGCAACCGCCCTGCCACCCCCATCAGCAGCTTCATCCCTCGCTCACGGCACACAGGGGTGGCAGCAGGATGTCCCTGCAAATGCAAGGAGCTGGAGCATCTTTCCTCCCTGTCATGGGTGCAATTGGGTCCTTTTCTCACCTAAAATAACATTTCCCCCCCACCATGCGCAGGCTGCATGGGGGCAGCTGGGCCACAGCATTGCTCAGCAATGGGGCCTGGGCTGGAGAAGCCACCAGGCCATGGCTTTGCCCCATAGGGACCCCTCCAATGCCCCCCTGTCCAGGGCCTTGGACCCTCCATGCTCCATAGGGAGCACCACAGGGAACTGTCCTGAGCCCCCTTGGGATCCCCCTGTTGGGGGTGGGGTTGTCCCCATAGCAAGGAGGTTTGGAGGGGCCTGCCCCCCCCCTTCCCATTGCCCTCAGGACTCTCCAGGGAAGGTCTCCCTGTCTTCTCCATGGAGATGGCCATAGCCAGCCATGGTCTTCCATGCTGGAGGGGAGCCAGTGTGGCCAGAGACAAGGCCTGTGAGAACCGCCTGTTTTCAGCTTATTCCTTAAAGAAAGGAAGTCCACACAAGTACTCAGGGCTTGCATCCATCCTCTACAAGGTGGGAAGCGAGATGCTTCCCACAAAATGGGAACAGAAAGGGTAAAGCGTTACTGCCAGCACACCGAGCAAGCCCAAGGTTTATTCGTTAAATCAATGCTGTTAACATGGCAACCACTTCCATTTTAGTTTACACAGTCACGTTCCATCACAGTCTGCAAGACTGAGATCTCAATAAGATCAAAGAGGCAAAATAAATGAAGGAAAACAGCCCCTTTTGCTGTAGACCTGCTCTCTTCCTCTGTCACAGCCTGCAGTTGGCAATGAGCAGGGCGCAAGTGAGCAAACACTGCAAGCTCTGTCCCTGGGATCAACATCAACTTGGCTCTGCTGCAGCGATACAGGAGACAGCAAGTTGTCCTCCACGATTCCTCCCTCCCAGTCCAGCATTCCCAACTGCTTGGCTGTGGCTCTGGTGTCCATGAGGATTTTTAACCTCTGGTGCTCATGGCCCAGGAGTTCTCCACAGCACATGGAGCCTCACGACCCAAACCTGGGGCACACAGGCACCACTTGGGCTTTGGAAGCGCTTTGAAGCCCTATGTTAACTGCAGGCAAAGGGTTATTGCCCTGGAGACAAGAGAGACCAGGGCTCTGGGCAGGATGTTGGAGATGCAGGACCACAGTGGGAGTAGGGGCTGTGGGAGCTCAGATCACTTAGGCTGGTTGCACACACACAGTGTCCATCTCTCATTCCACCCATGTCCTTCGTCTGAGGACATGCCCAGCTGCAAAGGAAATACCCTCTTTGCCATCAAACAGCAGAATGAAGTGAGCAGATCCAAGGGATGCTCTGGGAACTGGCATTGCTTCACCCTGGCACCCGAGCACTCTGCTTAGGGCTTCTTCTTCCCTTTCTTCTTTTTCTTCCCACTCGCTGCTTCCTCAGCTGCTCTCTTCTCCTCCTTCAGCTCCTTGTATCGCCACTTGGGTGGTTCCAGCAGGTTCTTGTCCTTGGAGCGATGCGTCCTCTCCTTGGAGGCAGGTGGGGAGGAAGGCTTGGTCAGTTTGATTTTGGGGATTTGGTCTCCAGGGAAGATGCTGTTCCTCCACAGCAGCCTCCAGGGCAGGAAGCTCCGGAGGCCGGTGATGGGGCGATAGGGTGACAACAGCCTGATCTCTGACACAGCCTGCCCATTGCAAGAGGATCCCCCGGCACTGGAGCATGAGCTGGTTTCTGACTCAGGGTCCTGCTCCGGCGTGTGCTCCTTGAGGATCTCTGGCACAGACAGCCTGCGCTTCCCTACTTCCGGGGGACTGTTGGGGCAGATGGTTTGGCAAGCGGTGGCTACAAAGGGACTGGCCAGGCAGGTGGTCATCCTGACCATGTGGTCCATCACACCATCCTCCTTGGGGTCATGGGGGATGTTGAAGGTGAACACAGAGCGGATCTTCTCCGACAGCCTCTCGCCTCTGGATTTGGGGCTCAGGGCCTTGGCCACCAGCTCGGCCAAGGCCGGCCACTCCGGCAGGTACTGGCTGCTGAACTGCTCTGCTCGTGGGCGCTGCAGGAGGCTCCGGATCTGCACGATGGTCTCAAAGCGCCCCGTGAACTTGGCCCAGTCTCTGGCCGTCTTTCCCTTGATATGATCCACCGCTTTCAGGTCAGCTCCTGAGAACATCGGGATGCAAAGAAACATCACAGAACATTGCTGAGCATCACAGAGCACAGGCATGGACACAAAGCAGCACAAAGCAAACACAGCCGCAGGAAAAGCCTGTGTTTCACCCAAAAAACCCTGAAAGTTTCGAGAGTTTGAGGGGAAGTGACCAGCAGGTGTCAGCCATGACCCAGGGCTCCCAGCCTTGGCTCGGAGGAGCCAGGTTGGCTCTCAGCTGTTCAAGACTAAAGCCCTACCCAAGACCAACCATGCACAGCGAATCACCAAATAGCAATGAAGCCCTCACACCCACGTAAACCTCGCTGCAAGAGAGCACCAGTGCAAACTCCCCACGTTTTTTCTACAAATGCATGCTCCAAATCTTGCAGAAATCCACATAAAAGACAGTTGCCATATACAAACCAGACATGCCATACACAAACCAGGAGGCATGCCAACACGTCCAAATAGCAAACAGCTCCTCTCAGGAGGATGTTTACGTCTGCAAAAACTGTGTCTTACCCCCCAGATACCTTGAGTTATCCAAGATGGACTCACCGGCCAAGAGCAGGGCTGTCACACAGTCCTTCCTCCCCTGCACGGCAGCCTTCATCAGGGCAGTCAGGCCGCGGAAATCTCGCTTATCAACCTCGAGCGCTGGGTAGTAGTTCAGGAGATAGTTGACTATTGTGATATGTCCTTAGCAATCGGAGAGAAGCTGCATTAGAGGCTTGACAGTCCATGAGTGATAACTGCTTAATGCTTGCTTATAAAAGGAATATTTAGCATCTGTATTTTATGAGGACAAAAATGCAGTCTGTTATAGAGACCTGGACCTAAAAGATCCTGTTTTTCAGCAGTCTAGGTAATGAAATGCAGAGAACATTGTCAGCTCACCAGCTGCTTTGAGCAGATAAAGCAGGAAAGAATCCAAAAATCACCAATTCAAACTACAGAGAAAGTAGGAATAAAAGGTGATCCCCACTTTAAGTTCCCACTTTGCTTCCCTCCAGGGTTCATCAACAAGGGCTTATGCCAAAGGGAGCAGCATTATTCTGCGGTAAGGAGAAAAATACATAAAACTGGTAGAAGATTCAGGCCCTAAATGTGTGATTTATCAGCTTAGACCTTTTGCTGATGTAAATCACTGTAGCTCATTTGGCTTTATTGGAGAGCAGTTGGATTAGCTGAGCTGAGGGTCTGGCTCAATCGCTGCTTCTACCACTAGAAACAATTAATCAGGCAGGACAAATTGCAGGGCCAAGCGGACATTACTGTGGGAACTTCCACTTTTGCATAACCTAGCCACTTGTGAAGCCATGCTGACATAAACCATGGACTTGGATGGGGTGGGTCACTTTTGGGACACCCCTGAAGTCTCCAGTTTTTTAGGGACCTCACAGGGGAGCACAGGGAGTTGGTTATTAGTTATGTCACTTCTGGGGATGGGTCCAGGCGCAGTGCGGTGCCTACCTGCTTGTGCTGCCACCATCAGCGCGGTGTTGCCGTCATTGTCCTGGTGATTGATGTTTATGTAGGGACATTTTCGCAGCAGAGGAACGATGTCCACAAAGCCCTGGTAGCAGGCGACCATCAGCCCGTTCTGCAGAGGAAGCAGCGCTCAGACCAGGCTGTTGGCACCCTGCCCTCGCCACCGCGATGCTCCCCACGGCCCAGCCCTTCTTCCAGCCCCACGTGGGGGCTCCCACAGAACCATTCGAGGTCTTTTATTCCCAAACCAGAATGGGAAAATGTCTGATAACATGAGAAAAGTGACATCTGGGTCTGCTCAGAGGACTGGTGCAGAGCCAGGACACCCTGGGAAGGCTCCACTCACCACCCCCTCAGCCCCATGGCTTCCCCGGCATTTCCACCCAGGGTCCTGCTGTAGCTGCTTTGGAATTCGCCTGTCCTTGGGAAAACCCTGTTTCTGGCAATATCACGGCCTGACCGTCACTCACCCTCCCGTTGATGTCCAGCTCCATGGCCTCGTGCCTGCCCACCCCCTGCTCCAGCTTCTCGTGAAGCAACTTGGCATCGTTGCGGAGGCAGCACTGGTAGAGGCTGAGGTCCTCCCCGCTGCCCGGCCTCACGGAGAGCTCATAGCAGGGGTAGACGGAGTCATCAGAGAAGATGCTGCTGGTGTCGGAGGACTCGGACCCCTCGCTCGGCTCATCCTCTTCCTCCTCCTCCTCATAGTGCAGCTCCGGGTCGGAGGCAGCGGGGTCGGCAGGGTCTTCTCTTCCAGCGCATTCATGGGTCATCCAGCCCATTCACGGGGAGCGAGGCCAGCTTGGCCCGAGCCCTGCGTCCCCCCAGCTCGGCAAGGCCGCGGGCGCTGCTGTCACTGCTGCCCCCTTCCCCTCGTGCACAGGCACCGCGCAGCACCTCCCAGCTCCTTGCTGTGGGACAAAGCACGCTTAAAACTTCCGTCCTCTGCCCATTCCCAAAGGGATGTGGAGGGCCCGGATGCGGCAGGAGTTGGGGCTGCACCTGGGAACCTTCCCTACAGCACAGGGAGAATAAGGAGACATGGCAAGAGCCTTAGATTTGGCTAAATCCACAACCAGAACTTGTGCAGCAGCATCTGGACAAGTGTGCAGGGCTGAGATCATGATCTAAACTGAAACCGGCCATTAACTAATTAGAGCCTCAGGAAAGAAACCTTCACGGGTCCATTAAATCTTCCCACTGCCCTTAGAGCCCAGCACCCCCCGCCCCACTCTTACCAGGGCTGCTCAGCTCCTCCGTGCCCCTTTCCCAGGCACCATCCCTGCTCCGAGGGCAGCTCCAAGAGACTCTGCAACCAGTGGAAACTTTTCCCCTCTTTTAGCATGGAAAGAGGCTTCTGCTCAGGTCCTGCGGTGGCCTTTGAGCACCTAAGCTGTGACAAGCCGCACGTTACCACAGGCTTAGCCAGCCAAGGTACCTTAATTTAAACCGCTGCTTAAAATGGCTCCATGCATGCTGAGCAGGATCAGGGCTGCTTGGGGAGGCTTTGGGGTCCTTAGCTGTATTTTTATACCTGTCTCACCTCCAGGCACCTCCCCAGCCCAAAGCCTCCCTAAAGGAGGGGAGGATGTTTCCAGCTCCCTTTTTATGGGCGTGAATTTGCTGCTCAGGTGGACCAGGGAAATTGCTGTTCTGGGAAGTGCGGCAGGTAAATTAAATTAACCTCTTGATCTTGGGGTGTCTGGGAGCTGTCTCTGCTGCACCTGGAGCTCAGCCCAACACCAGCTGAGGAGCTGCAAAATGCCCTTTCCTGTATTTCCCAGGAAACCTAAAGGCTTCCCTTGTCTTGCCCTTTAAAGGCGTTTTTACGCCCCTTTGCAATCTGTGCATTTTGCAAGGGACAGGGGGAACCGGCCACTGGGGTCTGGGAATTGGCCATTTTAGCCTCTGGATCAGCACAACAAACCCTCCCCTCTCTGCTTAAAGCAACCCTTGCAACAGAGTCCAAAATGTCTGTGCTCAGCAGTACCCCTAAACATACAAGCAAGGAGCAGGGAAAGGGTGCCTGCTGCTTCCAAGGAGCTCCCTGCTTTCTCCGAAGCTGCCGGTCCCATCCTGCGCGACACGGGAGCATCCGGAGCCACCGGGCCGCACATCCACGTGCTGCCGCAGCCTGATCTCCGGAGAGGCCGGGGCAGATTTATGGCTTAGGGAGTTATCCGGGGAGCTGGGCGCAGCCGCTGAGCCGGTTGCGTAAGGGACGGAATGGCCGGGCCGGCTGAGCCACTCGCTGGGATGGCAGGAGGACTCCGGAGCGCACGGGGAGCGCGCGGGGCCGCCTGGGGGGATTTGATGTGGGGATTTGGTGGGTTTTTACACGGCGTTTCACTGCTCGTGTGGGTTTTGCAGAGCCCACGTTTGCCACCAGGGGATGCCCCAGGCCGAAGTCTGCGCTCCGGACGCTGCTGCTTTTCCCTGCAATGGGATTCCTGGTGCATCCCGGGGGACATCGCTGGGGCGAAGGAGACCCAGTTCAGAGGGAAACATTTCAGTTCCTGCATGGTCAGAGCTCTGCCGGGAGAAGGACACATGGAGAGGGATGAGCTGGGAACATTCGTCACTCCCCAACAAGCACTAAATCACTGCCGCTGCTTGGGAGCATCCAAGCGGCTGGGGGGGCCCGGAAGCGTGTTGGATAA